AGAGAGAGAGAGAGAGAGAGAGAGAGAGAGAGAGAGAGAGAGAGAGAAAAAAAAAAATTCGGCTACAGTGAGTAATATTATAGTATGAGCAGGGGAGCATGCGTGGAGCGGGAATGACGAGCAGTCCTAGAGGGAAGTAAAAAGGAAAGCGTGGAAGACTTGAGATCCAAGCGCCGTCATTCCTCCCTCGGTAGGCTGCTGCGCGGACTAAACAATTAAAAGGGGCCCCTGGGAGGCTTCCCTGCAGGTCGGGGTTGCTACGGCGTCATAGTATTGTTAATGAATCTCCAGAGAGAGAGAGAGGAGAGGGCAAACCGGAGCAGTGGGGGTGTGAGCTTTACCGAGCGGCATGATATGGTTTCACTCTGAAGAAAGAAGGTCGGAGAGAAACAGCGAGAGAGAGAGTTGGAGATCATCAGAGAGGACACGAAGAGAAGAAATGCTCGCCTTTGTGATTACAAACCTCCCGTGGTCGTGTTCAGGAATGCCTTTAAAGCTGTCGGACCAAGATGTGACTTCCACCTGCTGTCAAGGATGACACTTTTTTGGATGATTTTTCTCTCTCAATATTGACTTGGGGCTTGTTCCACCTCCACCAGGCAGCATGTGATTGAGATGACGTGAATGACACCCTCTCCAATTGTTGTTGTCTCGTGTGTGTGTGTGTGTGTGTGTGTGGGTGGCAAACGCATAGAAACTGTTGCTTGGAGCTGTCCACACCGTTGCTCGTTGCTTCATTCCCCACTGGACTCTATTCTCATTTGTGGCTGCACAGCTCATCCTGACGGATCATGACAAATGGAAACCTTCTTTGATAACTCCAGAAAAAGCAGCTCCAACACAACAAACTGAGGTTGGAAGTTCTCCCGTCTTTTACCATGGATTCGTACCGCGCTTACTGGAACTCGGGCGGGCGGAGCAGGACGTGGGTTGAAGGGGAGGACCAGGATGTGTACGAGGTGGAATCTCGCGTACCCCTTCCCCGACCTTTCCCGCTATGCGGCACCTTGAACGAGAAGAACGCCGTGGTGGTACACACGAAGATCTTGCATGTTAATCACCAGACGAACGGTCACCTCCTTAAAGTCATCTCCAGGATCTCCCTGCCCACTCCTCCGTACACAGTAAGGTCACACAGTTGTAGTTCAGGTCTGCACATGTGATGAAAGTTCAATGTTATTCCACGGAGGAAGCTCTCTCTGTGCTGCTTTTTGGAACAGTAGGTGAAAGATTATTACCTTTATCGGTCATGTTACCGCTTCCTGGTTCTCATGTTATATGATGAGACCTTTGCTCAGGTAGATATGATCCATGGAAAGTAGCCATGGGATGAATGTGAGCGTGCTGACGGGTTATTGCATGATGATTTCATAGCTGTACGACACAGAGGAGCTGCCTTCTGTCACCTGACCTAACGGTCATTAGACAAATGTGATATCATTATCTCAGCGCGTTTGTGTTCCATCTGCACATAACCTCATTCTGTTATTGACTTTTGTTCAGGTTTCACTTTTGTCTAAGGCCTGTGCACTTATGTTAGTCTGTCTGCACATGATGCATAAAGACCATGGCCTGTGTCGTCAAATAATTTATAATAAAGTAGTTGTATATTCTTAAACGTGACAACAAAATGCTTTTCTAATTAAGTTTAAAAAAGATGATCAAGAGATCATATATTTAAGCAGACAAAATGTGTTTTTCAAATGAAGAGGTTGAATCAATATCTTGATTAAAAAGGATATTTTCCAGGTTTGGTGCATATCTTGTTATAGTAAATGTATGTTATGTGTAAAATAATCAAATGTGCATTAAGTGCTATGAACTGTGGTCCATTGTTATGCATTACAGTACATGAGACTGAACTTTTTATATGTAGAAAACAAGAATTTCTTTTGTTTGATTTTAATTTCAACTGGCTCTGTATCATTAATTTCTATTATAAACGATTCCTTTCCGATGTTTGTTCTTCTAAGCGTATTAAAAGCAGTCCTAACTCTTCTTCTTGTGCGTCGCCATCTCTTTCCTCGTCCCCTCTCAGCTCGAACATGCCCGGCTGACCCAGACCGAGCTGATGCGGGAGTCCTTCCGCCACAACCAGGAGATGAGCGAGCTGCTGCAGAAGCAGGAGGAGCTGCAGGAGAGGTTGTCGGAGGAGGCCCGGGCCCGTGAGCAGCTGGCTCTGGAACTTCACCGCGCTGAGGGTGAGTTCCTCTGGATAACAAAGCTTTTATTACATAAAAAACGTTTACGGAATCAGGATCGGCACCAAATATATAAAAGAGTTGTACCTTAGTGGGGGACAGCTCTGCGCAGACTCAGATCAAACTGTTTGCAGCTTCTTAAAGCCGTCTTCTTCAATGCAGCCTCCTTATAGAAGGAATACAGTACTCGCTGCTTCTCTATGGACTCTTCATTGATGACGTGACACTGTGTGCCTGTATGTCTGAATGATTACAGAACACAGAGAGCATAAGGAGGAACTGAAGTGAAAAGGCATCTGTGCATCCGTTTGAGGGAGGGAGGTGTTACAGGGAGTGATGGGATCAGCTGTTTGAAAGGGAGAGTAAAGGAGTGTGAGACCATCTGTGGCGAGAAGATCGACAAATGGAGATTTCTGTTCGTCAGCCTCTCTGATTTGAGTTTGGACGTCTGATTGCGTGTGTGACAAATACATAATGAGGGCTGATGTTTGGAGGTGTAAAGTACAATCTTGAAGCTCGGTTGAACTCTATTCACCAGGAAGTCGGTAGCCAATTTTTGTCAACAGTTTAAGCTCTGTGACAAATCTTATTGGGGGAACTTGATGTCCCATCCATGTCAGAGACAGCTGGTCCACGAGGGTCAACCAGTCGGCTGTGTCTCTCTCACACTATTTGGCAAATGTAGACTCCAAACGTCATTTCTGTGTTTCTGGCTTTGTGTACACACTGAACAATGGTGAGTTTATAGCGTTTACTAATCTCTAGTAGGATCCTGTTATGTTGTTTGTTTTCTGTAATCATGTGGAGGTGCTAAAGAATAGCAAATATTTGATGTCATAAAAAGTTTAGCAAAGAGGGCGACCATGTGGCAAGCTGTCTGAACAGCATTGTATAGAATACGACGGCAACTAACGATTACTATTCTCATATTTTGTCAAAGAAAAGCAGAAAATTCTCTTATCTTTGACGATGAAACCAGATATTTCATATTTTCTGCTTGAAAGATGACTGAAACAATCTGTCAATTATCAAAGTAATTGACAATTAATTTTCAGTTGATCTGCTAATCAATTAATCGACTGACCATTGCAGCTCTAGTGGAGAATAAATGCAGCTCCACAGACAATCAGCCTGTCATTTCATGTAATGGAGTTCCAGAGCAGCTGTGTTTTTCTGGTCAAGTGGCATCTGTCTTCACTGACTTTTAGGGAGTGCTAAAAATCTGCTAAACCTGTGTCTCCCTGCTCTACTTTGAAATTCTTCTATTGTATGGATGAACCACGCAGGTAAAAGCTCAGGGCGTGTCCTTTTCAAACTGGTTTTGAATAAGGCATGGGCTCAACATGCAAAACGGAGCCTCTTCACTGATTAACGGAACATATTATATAACAGCAAAAAGTATGAAAAGTCTTCTTTTGTTAAGTTTTAACAAGGGGAAAGGGCTTAGTTTGACAATATAAAGATGTGGAATCATAATGTTGCAGAGTAAATGTGATTGAAAGATTGCCAGGAGAGCTCTCTGTGGTTGTTGACCAATGTTTTGTTTTAGTCTGTAATCATGTGCATCTGATAGCTGTGTATATAGAGGGATCCATCCTTAGTCAAAGTTTACACACAGCGCTGTGTAAAGTTTAAAACGACAATCTAGTCCTGCCATTTACCTTCTGCCTCTCTCTTAGCTTTAGGTAACACACAGCGCTCACTGAGCCGGTATGAGCTACAAACAACAAGCGAGGCGGAACATTTTACCTTTTAGAACTAACCCGAACCCTATTCTACACAAAAGTTACAGTAAATGAATAACTGGTTTCCATTAGTCTGTTACCCACCATAACCCGTAACTATTCACTGAATACCATCCTGCTGCTTAATGCTTGCTGACCTGTGACAGAGCAGTACAGTAATGATTGCATTTCATTGTGTTTACATGTCAAGCAAAATGGGTCAGACATGCTCACGTGTGTTCCTCTGTGCATTTGTAGGCACGTCTGCGTGCCTCGATGTTTACATATGTGTGTTTTCCTTCGCCGTGTTGTCGGTAACCTTGGATTTTGTTTCCTGGTGTTGAGTGCTCGTTCTTTTGGATGACTGCACTGTGTCTAAACTCAAGACTCAAAGTTAATTCCTCTTAATTCATCTGTTAAGTGATGGTAAGAAAGTGACATTCTAGAGTTCTGTTTCGGGGCCCCTTTTCATAACCGTCTTCCTCCTGCTTCGTCCACATTCAGGTGTGATTGATGGCTACACGGGCGAGCGAGCCGGGTTGGAGGAGCAGTTGCGTCAGAAGGAAGAGCTCCAGCTGAACCTCGAGCAAGAGCTGCAGGTGAGGCATTCCAGCTGCAGAGAGGAGGAGAAATAATTATAACTTATGACTTGACAACACTTTAAGGTCAATTTTTTATTATTTTGCCTCTGGTGCAGAACAGTAGACACTCAAGTGCAAGCACAGTTACTTGAGGTTCAATTAGTTGAAATATCTGGCAGAAGAAACTCGATGTGTATAAATTCAGACGACAGCGCTGAAAGGATGAGTCTGTTGATTTTCTATATTTTTCTTATTGTCAAGAAATCCTGTTAAAAGGCTAAAACCAAAAATGAGGAAACAATAGAATATCACCAGCCGTATCGTTAGAAAACCCATTACATTTATAAAAGCTGGAGCTCAAATCAAGCAATCTGATTGGTTCATAGCTGTGATATAATAACCACATAGTAAGACTAAATTTGCACTTTCAGTATCACTCCACTTCTGAGGAAAAAAACCTGCTAAACATTCATATTGCCACACTTACGATGGCCGAACAACACCCAAGACCTGTCGTGAGCTATTGCCTAATCAACATATTTAATAGAGTTTTGAGCCAGTCTGTAACTGTCATGTCATGCAGGTGACGGGTAGCCGACTGCACGAGTTGGAGCAGGAGAGGCTTCAGATGCAGGACGAGCGGGAGCTGCTGTCCCGGCAGCAAGACGCCATGAGGGAGGACGCCGGGCCCCGCGAGCTTTGTACGTATCCCAGACCTCTCACAGGAAGTCATCATGCTTAGGAAATGCATTTATTTATTATAACATAGTCTGAACATTAAATGTTGGTTTGCATTGTAGAAATCATAGTGTATCAAAAATAAGCTTAAATAAGGAAACAAGAATACAAAATCTCACCTTCTATAAAGGTTTTGTGTTCTCTGTTATCATGGCTCAAGTTTCAAGTGACTGTTTGTTTGGTATGGTTAAATAAAACGTTAATTGTTCTTTGAATTACACGGCACAGCTTGATTTGGTGTAAAAAAAATATTGACCCAGAGTCAGTGTCAGAGTCATGTCACACAACAGCTGTTTAAGCTCCTCTTTTACAGTCCAGGTTTTAAAGGTACACGAGCCTCACATTGATTTATTTTGCAGTTCTTGTGTTGCTGTGGCCTAATGGAACTGATGACAAACATATATGAGACATAACTTGGCTGCATTGTAAGGGTAAAATAGTCAAAATGTTTATCTACATTTCTTACACACTTGCTTCCTGTATTTGTGCCACAGTTCATACATATGCAGGTATGTGCTCCATACACATGAGACTTGGTAACTGTATCTGCTAATTTGCATTATAACTCCTGTATTATGAAAAAGGTATCCCATGAGTACATTCTCTGATACAATGGTGAGTATTTGTCCAAGGGTTTAAACCAAAAGGGCGATTTGGGAAACTTTCCTTTCACAGCATCCTTTCTACAGCATTAACCTCCTGCTGTGAAAACCACACAGAAGCACTGCCTCCTCTATCCTCACCCTTTGCTCTTCTTTCTCTGAGTTTTCCTCTTCATGACAACAAAAAACAAGAGCATGTTACATTCCTGTGCTTTCTTATCCTCCTGTAGGCCTAGTTGAAGCTGCAATGGTTGCAGCACCTGAAGCAGGTGTGTCCACTTTGAGCATGGCTCAGTCATATCTACTGTGTGTTCTCTATAATCGTCGACTGTATCCGAGTGGCAGTGTACCTCTTTAACCCTAATCCAGCAACTCACCAACACAGCTTGGAGCTCGCTTGCTATGGGCTCACAAACTCACTCACAGTTCAATCACTAACGTTTTGCTTCAGCTTTTCATTTTGATTTGAGTTTTGTCCCGGTTCGTCATTTTTAATGTCTTTGGCGTCGATGTTAGCACTCATTTTAGCATGATGAAATGAAAGTCATCTTCAGACACTTATACGTAGTCATTATTCCCTAACCGTCAATCATCTGCACTCTGAATTGAGGGTTTTTTATTTTCAATTATGTATTTTTTAGACCTGCCGATGCTGTGCTTGCAGCATTTCTTTGAGTGAGATGATTGGCCGTTCAGGAAGTCCCTCTCCTGCCTGTAAATGCTTATTGGGCATGGATATCACAATGTGTGGGCTGTCCACGTGTTTGTTCTGCCATCTGCACTCTCTCATCTTGTTACCTTTGCACTAATCCTGCGGGGGTTCAATCCTGGGTAAACCGCTGTGGGTTGTTCACTGGTGGCAGCGGAAGGCCAAAGAGGCATCATGGCGGGGAATCATGTTCGGTAACGGGGCGTTACGTTGGGAAGTTGACTGAGGTGTTGGAAGAGTCTGAAGGTAGCCTGACGAAGCTGTAAAAGGGACCACGGCATATCAAATTACAACATTTCAGAGAAAGAAGTTTTAACTTTATAACAACATGACGATAAAACTATTAAATCAAGCTCATGGCTCACACTTCAGACTCTTCAGTAGCTCCATCTCAGCATCCTGTTTGTCTCTGAAATCAAACCTCAATGAATCATTGACTAAAGTCAGCCACCTTCAGTTGTCGGGCGGCGATGCCTAACTTGTCCTCCTTCCTCCGCTGTATTCATGTAGACCTCCTGGAGGAGACGGAGAAGCTGATGAAAGAGAAGGTGGAGGTTCAGCGTCAGGCGGAGAAGGAGAACGCCGACCTCCTGAAGCAGGTGAAGCTGCTGGAGGCGGAGCTGGAGGAGCAGGTCAACAAGGTGATCGAGCTGGAGCACGCTGAGAGCTCCGAGAGCGGAGACCTCCGACAGCAGGTCCAAGCTCTGGAGAAACAGCTGGACAAGAACCGGAGGTTCCTCGATGTGAGTGACACTGACTTTGACTCAATATTCAAAATGATAATGGTAATAATAAGATAAAATAAAGAACGCACAAATCAAATGTTTGTTCCTCCTTTAAGATGCACGATAATCTAATTTGAAAATAACAAATGAATCATCGGACACATAAAGAGCGTGTTTGTGTGCTGAGCATATTAGTATTTAGTACATGGTGTGTTTCACATAAAGATCTTTTCAAAGTCAGACTAATTTGAATGTTGGTTAATAAAGCATTGCTGTTATTAAGTTAGGGCAGGGATAACTACTTACTACAACTTAGAATCACGGCTAAACTGATAATTTCATGATTTTTTTTTTTTGGGGTGGACCCGACCTCATGTTTGGCTCACGGTATAATGAGTTTGTTCCCATCATCATAATTGGGCCACTCGGCGAGGAGTTGGCTCGTAATTGTCTAGATGTGGTCTGAATGCAGAATCCCTCTATTGTCCTTTTGATGCTGGTCGCACACACAAGTATGAAATCAGCACATTCGTAAACATAATTAGATTATTTTAACAATTCTTCCTTATAATCATATTTTCTGGAGCGTGCAGTAATAATGTTATTTGTGTTTCTATTTTGACAACTAATTTCAGACATAAGTAGAAGACATGGACTAGATGACAAACTGTAAATGGAGGGAGGGAAATTCAGCACATAGATGAGATAAATTGAGCAGTTTGTTGGAGAGGAAACCAGTTTCTCAACAGTTTGAGCCTGTATTGAAGATGCGACTCAACATTTCCATATTCCTGTCTTCCTTCCGGTGTCCAGGAACAAGCTGTGGACCGAGAACACGAGAGAGATTTCTTCCAGCAGGAGATCCAGAAACTGGAACAGCAGCTGAAGTATCCTCAGAAGCTTCAGGCTGACTCTGAGCAGAGAAACAAAGAGGTAACCGGAGCGAGCTCTGTTCTCCGCCAGAGGACCAGGCTTTAATAGAGATGCTTATTTTCTGAACATCGCACTGTCGGTGTGGCTATGAACTGAGGGTCACACAGCAGAACAATATGAGCTGGTAGAATTACCTGCGCTGCTTTTAAAAATGACACCAAAAAGTGGGAGTGTTTCGCAGGCGGAAGAGTGAGTGGGATTAATGTTTGTCCTCGTGTGTAATAGTGGGTTTTATTAACACGATCGTGAAATACACAATACAGTGAGAGTGATAGGATTAGCTAAAGTTAATCACTGCACTGGTGCAGCTGTTACTCACAAAATGTCAGGCATAAAGACATGTGTTGGTAAGACACATTTTGACTTGATGACAATTATATATCATGTAATGTAACCCCTGATGTCACATTTCAGAAGTGAATACTCGTGTCAGGACACCAACTGCACACAGTTTTCAGGCTAAATTTAAGTGATTTATATGTTGATATTAACAATGGATCAAGTGAAGACGTGTAATGTGAAACCTACAGAGATGTATCTCACTCTGCAGTTCCCCTCGGCTCTGTGGAGTGTTTTTAGTTATTGAGCTCATTGTTTTGGTTTTACAGCCCACAACTTGGCTGTTTTGTCTCTCCGCTCTCATTAACCTCATTTCCAGCTGCTGTTTTCAGCTTAAGAGCTTTCACAGATGCTGTCACTAGTCTTTCTGGTAATCTTTGATTCCCACAGCTATCGGAAGTCAGATCGGTCCATTTGGTCCTGTTTTAAACTGGCCTAAATTCTGATGGTCATATTTTCCGTTTTTGACCATAATAGAAGTCTTAACCTGCCTTTTTTTAAGTACTCGCCAAATTGCAATATGGCATTTCTTTCTGTGCATCAGTCTCGTTCACCCCAGCAGTAACCGCTGTCAGTTTTAAACTTAATGTTGTTTATTTGCTTTGTCTGTGCCATTATTACTCTTTGGCTTCTCCAGGATTTCATCATTGGCTGTCATTTTTCATCCACTCACAATCCAGCCTCCGGTTCCCTCCGGGCAAAGAGAAATATACTTTTGATCGACACTGTTGTCATTGTATTGCAGCACAATACAATGTCCTCAAACCAATCGACCGAGTCCTTGCGATTTGCCAGTAAAGCATCACGCCCTCTTCTAATGTTTATTATAAACATGATGTCCTCACGGTAAACCGTTAGATTCAACTCATTTGTCCTTTTGATAATGTGAAAGGAAAATAAGCCGCAGCGGGTTCTGGGCCCTCGGAGCATTTCACTCGCTCAATGGGAAACATAATTTGACAAGATAAGTCAGTTATTCCATTAGGGGACGATGATTTTAATGCTCAGTGGTATCGTCATGTTCCCTGCTCTTTCCTTAATGTCTTTGTAACTGAAGTATCCTCATTTTGCCGCTGCTGCTTCTTAGCCTTCCAGCAGTCCAACCAGTTTGTTTCCTCCCAAATTCGATCGTGACTTGAATTATATACTTTGTGATTGCAGCTTTAATTAAAGCTCCACTGTAGTTGCGGTAGCTGTTAGTTCTGTTCCTTGGCTTTACAGCATATCATTTATAAATCAGTCCCACTTCTGCTTTAAACTCGCCCCAAAGATGACCTCTCTATAATTTCCAGAGACTCCTGCCACATTTCTATCACTAAGTGCTTTTTCTTCCCCCTCTTGCCCTCGAACTGTCCATCCTCTGATCCTTTATGCCTTCTCTCTCCCGTGGCTTTATTACAGGTGGATGGAGTAACCTTTAAGGTATTGCTTCTAGCTACACATAGAATCTCCCCCAGAGAGCATTTAGTGCATTTTAGTAATCCCGCCCGACCCTGTAGCAATTAATGGCCTGCCCATCTCGCTCTCATCCTTTTCCTCCTCCTCTCTCCAGTTTGATCCCCGTCTGCTGTGTTTGTCTTTATTTGAAAGCGACTTCAAAACTTTGTCCTTCCTCACTCTGCTCCTTCCTCTGGTTTCTCCCTTTTCAATGTCCAGTGTAGAACTCAACAGCAGAACAGTAAACAAAGTGGTGGCGGGGTGGGAGGGCGAACTTGAACACGAGTTTAGTGTGGAACAAATGTCTAAGTATCCTCCCTAGAGAGGATTGCCTTTCGATTCAGTTGTACCCCACTTTTTGCATACTTGACATGACCGTAGTAAAAATTTCAAAGTACATTCTTACATCAATATGAATTTGTAAGTTAGCACACTGCAGTTGGTAAAACTAACCATTTAACGTTGTTTATTTGCCACATTAGCAATGTTTTGGAGGTAAATGACGAACAAGCATGTCTCCAGCTAAGTTTCTCTTGGGTGTCGAGCAAGAAATTGCATATAGATAACGCATAACCCTCTTGAGTTGACCTAAATCCATCAACAAATGAAGTAAAGCTCAAAGCAATATAAATAGACCATTCAGAGCTGAAGTACTCCCATGAAGAGTCCATCCTACTCCCTCGTCACATTAATATTTAACGGAGGACTGCTAGTGAGCAGGTGCATTTCATCTGCCTTCCTACAGTGTCTTTGTTTGAAACGCCGTCATCCTTAAAGATGCATTTCTGAAACAGCAGGGTACATAAAGGTCAGCCAGTTGTTTATGAAACATTATTTTCTTGTTTAATTAAGCAGGGGTACCATCTAGATATAGATTTATACCCCAGTTCTGAGAGAACCCTAAACGAACCTTCCTCCTGTGGACCCTTCTTCCTCCCCTTCATCATTGATCTGCTGATGTTTTCCCGTCTCACAGATGGATCAGTTACCTGCCAGCGGTCCTCCTGGCTAATGTACTGCTCTGTGGTTTGTGTCACCCCGAATGAAATCTCTCTGTCCCTGCACCGCTTTTCACTCTCGGCCCCCCTCCTTTTTCAGGTGGATCAGCTGACCTCCCAGCTAGCTGTACATGTAGCGAGTGGTGTCTGAGAGCGATTCTCATTAAACACCCCCCCCCCCCCCTCTCTCTCTCTCTCTCTCTCTCTCTCTCACTACCAGGTGGACCAGCTGACCTCCCAGCTGAAGGAGAAGGCGGATTGGTGCAGTGAGCTGCTGCTCAGCTCAGAGCAGCTGCGTCGTGATTTGGGAGAGCGCAACGAAGAGATTGACAAGCTGGAGAGCCGCATCCGCGAGCTGGAGCAGGCCCTGCTGGCCAGCACTGACTCCCTGGAGAAGGTTAGGATGGAGAGGGGGAGGGGGGGAAACGGAGAAATGGGAGATGAAGGATGTGCAGGAGATTGAGTCAGGGACGACGAGAGAGAGAGAGAGAGAGAGAGAAAAGGCAGTCTGAACAATAGCTGTAGAGAATGGCTGTGTGTGTGTGTGAGAGAGAGAGAGAGAGAGGATGTAGATAAGGTGGGGAGGAGGGTTGGGACGCACAGAGAGGGAGAACAATGTGTGGGTGGGTCTACTTCACCCGCGCTGCAGTTTGTTGTTGGTGATGAGTTATGGCTGGCAACTGTCAAGATTGCCCCCCAGTGTTCATGAAGAGCTGTTGTGAGTGAGAACAAAAAGAGCAGTGAAGGAAATGCTCATATATCTGCTGTGCCGCCGCTCAGCTGGCAAACGGCACAGAGCTCCAGTTGCACGATAAAGGATGCGATACGGACAAAACGCATTCGTAGCTTAACAGTCTTGAAAATCTGCTCGTCACAACAGTTTGTTCCTTCGTGCCCTTCTGCGACTGTCGTACATAACTGCTGTGCTAAATAGTTTTTTTTCCTCGTGTGTGTTGTTGTGCTTGTTGCAGGTTGAAGAAAAGAAGCAGCATGCATCCATCACAGAGGAAAAACACGCCACGCTGGAGGCTCAGTTACAGACGGAGAGAGAAGCTCTGGAGCGGAAAGAGAAGGAGGTAATGTGCTGATCAGGCACAGATTCCTTTGAATGGATAATATCTCAGACGAAAATCTGGGAGTGAAATGTTTATAGTGTTTTGTAACTAGATGTAATGTGTATATATAAATGTGACATTAGTACTGTTGTATCCTTTTGATATCTGCATTTCTGTTTATTTACAGGAATAGCAGATAATCTGTAGCAAACAAGTAAATCAGAGAAAACTATTTGTAGTTGTCTAGTGTCTCCTCTGAGGTGTTTGTCATGTTTACCTGTCGCCTCAGATCCGTAATCTGGAAGAGCAGCTGGAGCAATTCAGAGAGGAGCTGGAGAACAAGAGCGAGGAGGTGCAGCAGCTTCACATGCAGCTGGAGATCCAGAGGAAGGAGATCAGCAGCCAGCAGCAATATCTAGAAACGAGGGATAGCATGCTCCAGGTAAAGAGACATTCCGCTGCAATAACTTTTTACGGTGTCTTTACGTTAAAAATTGTGAATTCCAGAGGTGGTTGAGTCGGGTTGTGTGTTTGTGTACTGCAGCCACGCTGGCTTCTTAAAAACTGTGGATATGATTATCAGACAGACGCTGGACACATAATTGTGTTAAAATAAATGTAGACTTGTATTCTCAGTTATGTAATGATTAGTCTGTTGCTTTTTAGTACAGAACAAGTAGTAGACAATACAGATAAACCACTGGTTGCTCGTGACTTTAAGACTGTTGACCGACGTTGCCTGATAAGTTTGTACTTTACCTGCACAATACAACAAAAGGTTTGGTTCGTAGTTACACAACTAAAAACTGCTCCCATCAGTTGTAAACAGGACCATTTTCATTTAACTCATATACCACAGTTTTCCAGACATTTGCTCAATGTTGCTAATTTTCACTGCCAGCATATTTCTTCCTTGACTCAATCAGTGTACTTTCAGTCGTCCACCACGAGGCTGACTCTGAGTGGACTTTGGCATGACGTGTTTATTAATAGCCATCACATTATAATCTCTGACTTTTGAAGGTGATGGAGGAGAAGGACAGGGAAATAGCACTTCTTAATGAACAGATCACTAAGC